TTAGTAATACTAAATGGCACAACTTCATGCAAATTCCATTGTTTTCTATTGTTTAACTAGCACTATTTTGTACTACAGGGTGTATTTAGTAATTTGTRTTTCACGGATTTACYGTGGTCACTCTGATGTGAGCTGCATAGTGTGGACACAGTCAGGACAAAAAGTCAATCAATGAAAACCAAATAAAGCATCAAGCTCATTTTTTGTCTGATTATATTTATATTGATATCTATTTTATATCTATTGTTTTTTTCTCTTTATATATTTTACTTTTCTAGTTCATTTTTGACTTGATAATGAAGTTGTGCAACRTCGAAACGTCATCACATTTTTAACATGTTTTTATCATTCAATTTTATTATAAAATCGATAATTGAGAAGTAATATCAATCAATTTCAGAATGTTCTTGTGTCGCTAGTCGAAAATGTTATCCCTAACACGGCCTTGCTGGTGACAGCAATTTATTAGTGCAGTCTGTTGTCCATTGCTAGTCTGTGGCTTTCATGTTGCTGTTTCAAGGCCAATATGTCCCTTGTTAGAATTTACTCCTATCAGTGCCTCTTTATCCTGCCAGTGCAGTCATTACATAAATGTGTTTCAATAAGTTTTTATCCATATCGGTTTCCAGGATCTATATAACAGTCATCCTGTAGGTGGGTTAGTACTTCCCCTATGTGCATGGTTCATCTTGGAGAAAATAAATCCTTGTGGATAGGGAAAACTACTTTCAGCGCCTCTTTGTCCCTCCAAATCCTGAGAAAGATGAAGAAAATTATTTGTGTTATAATATGACTCAATCCTTTCCCTCTGATTCAAMAAATATGCAAATTAGTTCCTAAAATGAATCATATAAACACTTATATTCCTTCCCAGTGATGTTGCCACTTTTTATTGAGTGGAAAAAAGTGTWCACGCTCAGAAGGCATTAATTTGCACCATCACATGTTGGCACCCCTGATCTTGATTACAYGAGAAAAGAATCAGAAAAAAGACTATATTGTTGTGCCTTCTGTCTAATGGCTGCCATATCATATCATATGGTGGTGTGCAAAGCCTCTATTGCACACAAATCAGTGGTGCTGTCTTCTAAATGGATGATCTATGACTTCTTAATCCCTAGAGAAATATTTGTATATTTAACCGACTAAAATACAAGCAGAAGTTTAAATCTCTAACCTGAGGAAGTGCTTGAACCTGAACTAGAACTTGTTGGGCTAGACCTCCTATGGGTGGTACCAAAAGTTGATCCTGAACTGCCGCGATTAGAAAACCAGCCGGTGTTGCCACTGTTACCACCAAACCAGCCTGTGTTGCCACTGTTACCACCAAACCAGCCTGTGTTGCCGCTGTTACCACTAAACCAGCCTGTGTTGCCACTGCTACTACCGAACCAGCCATTGCCATATCCTCTATTGTATCCAGGAGTGTAATATGGATCATGGTGGTAATAACCAGTCCTGTCATGTCCTCTGTAATATAAAATGAGTATATGACAAAATGGAAAAAATAAGCATCTAGTAAACTAATCTTGATCTCTGCCTCCAGTGAACAAGAGCAACCAGAACTGAAAGCAATACACCACTACTAGTCTTTACTGTCGTTCTACTCTAATCA